TTACAGTCGGACATTCCTCGTGCCAGTTGACAAGTTACATTGCTACGACCATGCTGAACAAATTGATCCAGTTCACAGCACTTCCAACAAACTAATAACTCATTTGGGTACATGATAATTATTCCAAACTGCGTTTTTACTATGCTGTACACGACTTACGTTTAATGTTAACCGTCATAAACTTTATATAATATTACTGTACTGAAGATGGTCTAGAATACGACCGAAACGTCTAATCTTTATGTTATTATAACAATAAATTATTTTTAAATATTGACACGTACATCTCGTCACGGCTCAGAGCCCTTTCTCTCGATTCTGATTTGTATCATACGAGCCTTTGTCACACATTAAATTTTAGAATTTACATTTTTTTAATAATATGTACAAAAATACTTTCAAATTTTTAAAGAAAATGTCATATACATATATCTATTTATTACAACTGTTGCTAATATACATAAACAAAATATACATTAAAATTATTATTGACTATAATCATCTCATTATATCCATCCTTTATAGTTGTATGCATCTAGTCAGAAACCCATTTTACTTTCCATCTATTTCTACTACTTCACTTGCGTCAATAAATTGTAAATGGAATATGATGTTTTAAGAAACTGAAATGAAAAAAAAGCACATGAGATTATTGCTGTGTCTTATATAAATGAGATTTATTTACTGATATAATTTTGATCAGTTCAATATAATTGTACGCGTCAATAGAATTTTCGATAATTTGATTATGTAAAATTGATATTCATATATGAAGAATATTTTTATACTAACCATTACGAAAGAATCCAAATTCATGGTTAATATATATACAGTAGTAACTTCAATAGGTATCATTGCACGTTTCATAATCATCAATAAACTCTTCTTGACACTATTGCCCAACATTGGCCACTCCATTTGAAAAATGGTATCTGTCACTTGGAGACTCTGCAGAATGATATATAACATATCATATTTATCTTGTGTATTCCTCATATTTTATTTTATCGTATACCTTCAATTTCACTTTGTTTCCGAACCAGCAATAAATAAATATCTCTGTTAACATGCAGCTTGTGAACATAATTAACGCAATATGATCTGTATTCAAAGTTGACTTAGCCACTTGATACAAATTGGAGCACGTTATCATCATACTTGCCAAAAACTGAAATCCAATTATTTTTGTAAATTTTATATTTACTATCTGTGCAAACCTGCAATTAAAATTTTACCTATAAGAAGCCATAAAACTTCCATATACATCAACCATAGAGTTTATTAATAAGAAGTTAATTTTCTTATTACGATTGTAATGCACTAACAATTATGAAAAAAAATTATGACACAAATAAGAACTGATTAATAGATCAAATAATGCTTTAATAAAGTAGCAAATATACACATCAGTAAATTTTACAGATTTTAATACGTTTAATTGTTTTGACATAACATAAAATACTTTATTTTTATCTTTTTATAATACAAAAGATTAAGAACATGAAAAATATATGACTTTAATAGTATAGCTTTGCCAAATAAAACACATATAATAATGTTGAATTATATAATTTTTTGACATAAAAATGCTAACTCAAAAATTCGATTATGATGGCGTACGCAGTAGCCCACAGTAAGATGATTGCTCAAAAGTTTTTTCAAGCGATATTCCAAGATGTCAATTTGACAACATATGTGCATTAATAGCGCGCACATGAGACTATCTATTGCGACATTTGTAATAACGCAATGATATCCGCCTAACATTTGTTGAATGTATGTGAAACAATATATCACATTAGATGAATAATCGTATGGTATCCATTCTCTATATTTTAGCCTTTTATATCTAAAGTGAGTGAATAACGAGGCTAATACAGCAAATGCATATGATCCCACAATTAAGATTGTGTAGCACAATGTATTGTTCCTAGAAAATCATTAAAGAGCTCGTTATGTTCATATTATTTGTAATGTAAGCTATAAAATATATAAGAAAATTTTGTTTATTTTTGTAACAGACAATATGTTGTAATTTGGTAATAACTACAAATTAAATTTTATTTTATTATAGATTAAAAACAACTTTATTAAATTAAAAATTTTTATTTATAGGTTTTAGAATAACTATTACTTACACATATTAATTTTTACTTACTAATAAAAATACCTTTTGTAATAAAATTAGATCTATATATTTTTGAAAATATATTTATATATGTATCATGGAAAATATTATATAATAAATGAAATAATTATTTCGCAAAGAGTAATAATATTAATAAAGGATCAAAAACTATTTAATTAAAAGACATATTTACCGTATTATGTTATCATATTGTTGACGAATTTTTATCTCATCCGAGTCTAATGGTTTGAACGGCTCTTCGGTAAGATAGTTAATTAACGCTACAATATTCTCGTAATTTAACCACATGATAAACGTTTTATAGCATGCAACAGACGTGGTCAACATCAGATTCAGAGTGCTTGTGAAGTCATCAGTATTATCGACGTTAATAATAATGTCCATAAATTGCAAGAATGAGAACATATATAAAATGCCGATCACATATAGACTGTAGATATTATAAAGTGTCCGTTTAAATAAGGATGTCCATGATTGCGGTCGATAACATCCGGCAATCATAACGATTGTGTATGTCAATTTTAGAATATGCATTGTAACAGATCTAATGTAATGAAAAAAGAAAAAGAATGAAAAAGAAAAAAGGAACAAATAAGATATGTAAACAGAATTTAAGAACACAAGAATTTAAGATCACACCGATTTTGTTAACTACATGATTTTAGAACATTTGTACAGATTATTAAATTAACAAGCTAAACGGAACAGATCTCGAATAAAAATGTACAAAAGCAAAAACAGAATTTGTAATAGTCTTACTGGCCTGGCTATACGAAGGTTTCTAGTCCATTCTTTAATTTCGTTAATTGATTTTGAAGCTTATTGATTGCGCTTACACATTAAAACGTCGCAGACGCTTAGAACTCTCGTGTATAACACTGCTTTTAAATTTTAATTGCTACTTTTTATGTAATCGAGTTATATCTAATCGGTTTTTAATTTTGTGAGTTTTATGAAAAATTGTTGGTCAATATTTATTGCTCTTGAAATAACTTTAACTTGATGGAATCTCTATTGTACTAGGTAAGATTAAATAACATTAGGTACAGGAGGGTGCACTGTCTATAGACTGTTACTATCACTGTCAGAATGTCTATAGATTTATGACGCTACTTTCAATAGTAACATTATTTTTCACCGTCGATATTTCCTACTTACTTTTGCATATTTAATATCCGTATCTTTGTAATACCAAACTTGCAACAATTTTCTTCAATATAATATTTCCGCAAAATAATTGCTTGAACTGTTTCTACATGCAATTTTTATTATACAAGACGTGTAGTATCTTCATTGCTGTATTGATATAGAGAACAAAATTCTCTAATACAATAGAAAGAAAACATTTTTTTTAAATTTCATCAATTAAGTATGAAATACAAAGCTCTCCAATATCTTGATATTTCTCATTGGTGTGTAAGATATTTCAATATATTATCTTCTATCGTTAGAAGAGAATTGTCGTTATATTTTAGTATTGATTCGTACACGCAACATAATCAGACAAAG